ATAGATTTTTTTGTTTTTCTGATGTTTTAGTCATTTAATGATAGAAACAGTTTAAGATTTTATGACTGTCATCAATCTTGCACACTGACAATTTTGCCAAGATACCTCTTAACTATATGCACCAGTAAACCTATTTCTAAGAATTCAACAAAAATCCACTCAGTGCTTGCTCATACATAATATGTTAGAGGACCTGACCTAATGGCATTTTATGGCCTCAGTCAGGAAGTCAGTGGCTAGCCTCATCTGCTGGCCTCAGCCATAAATCATCTTTAAAATGTGGGTCTTACCTCCCCACTTGACTTACCCCAATTCCAGCTCAGGGCAATACGGTCAAACACTGGCTAATTGTTTCTGGGGTTTGGGAGAAATGGCAGCAGGTGGGATTCCTATTAGTGTCATGTCTGTTTATCTAATGTACCCCAGTGCATACATAACATATGAACTAAGTTGATATTCATGAACAAAATCGAAAATACATTTTTTAAATAGCTAAATAGGGGCAGTTTTTTTTTAAATTAAAAAAATAATGACAATTCCTTCCCTTTCAATGTCATCAAAATGTGAAACATTATCAATTTTCAATTTCTACTTATTATGTGTACTAAATTGTTAGAATAAATGCATTTAAAATTCTTTCAAATAGGAAACTTAGTTTAAAATTTAATGATTCAGAGACTAAATATTTTCTCAATCCATTTGAGTCAGATCAAATTTAATAAAAAAAAGAATGCAATTAAAAAATTAGTGTTTGCAGCAAATTGAAATAGAAATGGACTTTAACTATTTCATTTTCTTTTACAATCAACAGAAATAAGTTACCATATTTTATATACTTATATATATATATATATATATATATATATATATAGTCTTTTTTCCCATCCCACAATAATTTTGAGAGGTTTTTTTTTCTTCAAGACACACCAGTTAACCCTATTACTTTAAAATTAATGATATTGAAAATTATTGTTAAAACATAACTACTCACCTGGAGGTGAACATAGTGAACCAGTTATCTAAATTTGAGCCACAGAAAATGCAGTTCGGAAGACAAATTAATACAGTGAGAAGCATGGAAAAATGAAATGTTTCTGTCGTTGACCTATGAATGAAAGATAGAAAAATATTTTCAACATAACGACCCCTAAAATTAGACTATTGATAAGAACAATGACAAACGATAAAGGAAAACATGCATTACACTCCGAAAACCCCCAGATAGCATCACCAGACAATGCCTAGCATGGAACCCACAGGGAAAAAGAAAGAGAGGAAGGCCGAAGAATACATGGAGACATGAGCTAGAGGCAAACACGCAAAAATATGGGATACACCTGGAAGCAATTTGAAAGGAAAGCACAGGACCGTGATGAGTGGAAAGTTCTTGTAGACGGCCTATGCGCCAGACCGGGTAGAAAGGCATGCGTAAGTAAGTAAGTATTAAAAGTAATTGATTAAATAAATATAAAATGGCCATATCAATCAAAGTTGGACTTTTAAAAAATTCAATTAAAACAAAATTTTGACCTATGAGGCATCATTATGCTTATGATAAAAGAAGAGAAGGAACCAAATATTTGTTTCAAATAAAAACCTATAACACAACTTAATGGAAATGAGCTAATTCCCTTATATTTGGTTCTCATTATGGGCTTTGAAACAAGTTATGATAAATATTTTGAATTCCCTGTTCCAGTTTAATTTGTATTAGAGATAACATTTTAATGGTGGTCTAAAAGTATATTATTTAGCTTAATTTCAAAACATAACTTACGACAGCAGTGGCGCACCATAACATATGCAGATGATATAGAAGATAATACAACCCAGGATGAGAATGAACAGTGATTTCACTACACTAGTTATCTGTAAATGTAAGATTAAGATGTATAATTATAATAAAACACTCAGGCAACTTGATTGATGTATTCAATCAATAACTCAAGACTGTTCTGGTATTAAATTTAATGTTTAATTTAAAAAGTGTTAAACTTTAACTTAGTGCCAATAAACCTAATTAAATATTTGAAAAATAAGTAACTTTATGCAATAAGGCCTACTGAGCGGACTGTTAGTGTTAACCCTTTACAGTCTGATGCATCCGAAAAGCACCGATTTTTTCTTAAGCCTACAGTTCGTTGCGGCCAAACCCACCCGTTTTGAGGTTGTTTACTTTCTTTCTTAGCACAGCAGAAATCCGTTGGGCATTACTATTTAAAGTTCTACCGGAAGGAAACCTCATTGACAGAATTTATTTAGATACTTGTTTGAATGCGGTATGTTTAGGGGCTCATTTTCTACGATTTTATTTTAAAGTTGCGATTTTTTCGCTGTAAATAATGGCTTTCCAAGCCTTGGATAAAATTTTGAATGAACTTATGCCTAATGAAGCTTCACTATTTTATGAGTCTAGCAGCGATAGTGAAGAATCTGATATAGACATTAATTTAAATGACGCTATTAGTGATAGTGAATCAAGTCAAGAAGATAATAGTAATAGTACAGATATCGATGACAAGAGACCTATCAATTCCACTCCAACTGATCAGCAAGATCATAAGTGGTCTGGGAATTTTTTACAAATCAAAGTGGGAGGGTCTCCGAAACTGTTTTAGGTGCAACTTTTGCTTTAATTTAAATCAGTTATTTGTATTTGGGTATTTTCAATGTTATTTTCTAGCTTCTAGTTTATTTTCTGTTTATTAATTAGATAAAGACAAAAATGGAGTTATGTCCCCTTGCTTGGGTGCTGGGAGTAGAAAAGGCTGAATAGGCTTTGACTGTAAAGGGTTAAGCTACAGCTCCTACCCTGCTGGTCACTTTACTTTAGTTTTAGTGTCTAGGCGTCTAGGCTTACCTTAGGCTTAAAAGGATATTTTTCACTACTTTCTGATCCATATAAAAATGAAATTAAAAATGTCAAAAGACAGTGGACTAACGCAGCAACCATGCAAATTTTCATTCCTGCAACTGAGTTTTTGATAATACTGAGCGGGCCATCATTAAGTAAAATTATTGTCAGTACGCCGAACAACGCAGAGGATACCAAAGAAGAGAACGATAATATTAAAATAAATCTTGACACTTTAAACGAATGCATATTTGTCTGTATTCGTTCATTCATAAAATTTCAGTGAAATATAAATAGTAGTATGAATGCCTATTTATCTCTCTTAAAGCTTAAGAATTAAACACTCTGTTGATTTTATTCTCAATTCATTTCCATTTTATTTTTCGTTTACAAGCCAATAAATAGCTCTGTTGTGCTTTGACAAAGGTTTTACTATTTACCAATACTATACAAAAACCGAGAAGTAACAAAATCGGACAAAGCATCATTATTCATTGCTGGTAATGTTTCGTTGCAACCATGTACTGGCATTTTTGCAACGGTTGGGGGTATGATGTTGCTATTCTAACGGCTCCCAGCAGATGTCAGGGCAGCCTTGAAGCTTTCGACTGATGTCGAGTTCACAGTGGCATCGTTCAGGTGATTCCATGCTATTATTGTGCGTGGGAAGAAAGATTGTTGATACTGCACTGTGTTGCACTGAGGCACTTTGAAGCATTTTCTATTGTTTCTGGTGTAATTGTTTATGGGAATTTCAGTGGTGAAATCTGTGTTCAGTGAGCGTTTTGCTCTGATCAGCCTACTCGGCTTCTGTGGGGTGAGGAACGTGCGTCCTGGGATGGCCGGCACCAGTCCCATGATCACTTTATATAAGAATGTCAAGTAGAGTCCCTCTCGTCTGTCTTTAAGGGGAGAGATGTCAAATCTTTTTAAGAGTCCAGTGACGAAGCCAGGAGTGGTGGATTTGTAGTCAAGAGTGATAAAACGCACAGCGTTTCCTTGAATTCGCTCCATCGTGTCCACGTCTTGCTTAAGGTGTGGGTCCAAGTCCAAGATGATCGCACCGCATTTCAGTAGTGGACGGACGAGTGCGAAATAGGCATTCAGTTTGCAGGAAGTTGAGCAGTGGCACAGATTTCTTCGAATGAAACCTAGGGTGGAGTTGGCTTTTTTTTAAATTTTGTTTATATGGGGTGACCATTTTAGGTTATTTGAGAAGAGAACGCCAAGATATGGACTACTGGATACTTGTTGGAGGATTGTCTCATTTAGTGAGTAAATATGAGTTGATGGTTTTTGAAGTAAATCAAATAAACAAACATTTAAATTGACAATTATACCAACACTTGTTTTTTTAAAGCAATTTTTGTCAAATAAAATAAAGTAATTTTTTATGTAACATGTCATTATCTTAAATACAAAATAATGGGGATTAAGTCTCTAATCATAAAATGTCAGTCATTTATTTATAAAATGAGTAAAACGAAGTAAGGTTAAACCTGAAAAAAAGAACGCAACAAAACAACGAACGTGTTGGCAGGAAGCCTTCGTCAGTGAACAAAACAACATAAAAACAGAAAACAAAATACGTTTTTAAAATAGCACTTAGCTTAGAGGTAGTATCCGTGGGCAGCAAATGAATTGTCATTTTTTTTAGTTTATCAATAACGAGTAAAACAAAGTATTGGAAAACCTGCAAAAAAAAAAAAATGAAAGCGACAATATAATGAAATTTTTAGCAGAAAACATTCGTCAGCGAACAAACAACAGAGAAAAATGCATTAAATTAAAATAGCACTTAGCTTAGCTGAAAATTAGTATACGAGAGAGCCGCAAAAGAATATTTGTTTATCAGCCATTGTTTTTATTTGTGTCTATCAAAAATAGAAATTAATTCCAAACATTTCAAATGATGGCTGCACAAGTACATTGACTTAAGCAAAACAAATAAACAACAAATAGTGTGTTTTTTTTATATATTATAAAACTACGTAACTATTATGTAAGAACTAAAAAACAATACATCCAGGCCAAAAATGCGTCTGAATTCTCTCTGACTATCTGAGTAGTTCCATTAAAGGAATGAGGATTTTTAAGTTCATATTTCGGAACTATCTCGGAGTTTGGTAACATTTCTGATCGTTGGTCCCTATCCTTGGAGCCTGAATGTATACAAACTCCAGTGACCCTAAGACGGTTAGGTTGAGGGATCGATTTAGGGTTCAGGTTAGGCATAAGGATCGATATATGATATAGGGTTCAGGTTAGGCATAGGGATCGATTTAGGGTTTAGGTTAGGCATAGGGATCGATTTTGTTTAGGTTTAGTGACAGAATTAACTGGTTGTGTCAACCAAGATAGCAGAAAACCCGGGGAGCTTTCTCAACATTTACTACCGGTACTCCACCAATGGGCCGGTAAATGTTGTAGTGAAATTCTGTAACGGCATGCACCACAGGCCAAACTGAGACCATCCGTGAGCGTGTCTGCTTAATCTGCACAGCCCACTGCAGACACCACATTTCATACACTGTTCGTCAATGCACACACCGTCGTAGTACTGAATTAGGGTCTGACAAATTCAGCAGTAGTGTGGACAGCCCCCCATACTTATTTGTTTCATGTCTGATCGGTATCAAAAACTTTGTGCATATGCACTATTACCTCCTGTCATATTGGTAGCTTAGTAATAATTATTTAAATGAATTATGCACTAAATAACTTTACACAACTGGATTTTTTTCTTGGCTTATGCCTAAGTGGTAGATTACCCTGCCACCATGGGTAGGGAAAATGAGAGAATGTGCTTTTTTTATCAAATTAACAAGAGAAACGGAGATAGGAACAAAATGTTAAAATTAATGAAAATGAAATAATTTCAGCCCGAACATTAATTTCTTGACAAACCTGGCTACTATATTGTATCCTTCTAAGCCTAGATATGCTGTAAGAAGTGTCAGAGATCTTCAGTTGCTCCCTTCACATGTGCTACAGTAATACTCTGTTGTAAGAAAAATGTAAAAATAAAGAAAATCAATCCAAAATATTTGTTTAATAATTAAAACCCAACTTTAACTTTAATATATACTTTTTCACACTTTTTTTGCAAGTTCCACCAAATCCAAAAGTTGTTGTAAAAATCGATACAGTAGCCTTTTCCAAAATGCGGGACAATTTAAATATAATTAACCACCTAATGAAATTATAACTTAGTCTTAAATCATTCCTTTGTATTAATATATTTAAAAAAGCAAGGTTAACTCTAGTAACAATCTAAGAATAAACAAAAGGAGAGAATCCTACACTTAAACTCCAAGTGGTGCACTGAAGTAACATAAGCCCAATTGGCCTGTTGAACTGGTGACATGTTCAGTAGTGATTTTCTAAAAGCCAACTGTGTCAAATATTCTGTCAAATATTCAGTTGCATATCAGAATATTATCGTTGACTGGGATCTTCTGATGCCTGTCAATTATTCGACTGGCCTATTATTCCACTTCACAATGACGATCTCTCTCTCTCTCTGATAAATAACACAATGTCCAATGACCACTAACATTACTTTATTATAGATGCTATATAATCACATGATTCCTTTGACATTTGGATAATGTGTACAAGTATAATTGTGATGCAGAGTTTGGAGCCTTTTTAGTATAGCCTCATACAATTAATGTATTTTTTTAGTATATTCTCTCAAAGTTAGAATGAGGCAAATTTCTCCCCCCCCCCCCCCCCGCTTCCCTTCCAGGGTTGCCAAAAACATCCATAAATTTACAGACAGTCTGTAAAGATTTGAACTAAAATTACTTGTTCGTAAATCCCCTTTAGAACTTAGGACATTCTTAATAAATAAAGCAATTTACAGAATTTTTCTGAAGCAAAACAAAATTTGACATTTGGAGCTGTGGCATTTGCTTCTTAGTTGCTTGACACTTGGACAGTCATATTCATAATCAGAAGTATTTCAACACTGGTGAGAATGCCAAAGGGCTAAAAAAAAATGGGTCAAGCCTTGTGGTAAAATGACAAAAATTCATACACAGAAATAACATAGTCGTACTGACATCAGAATTTTTTTAACTGGGTTCCTTTATTTAAAAAATGTGTCTGTAAATTTTTTTGATTGTATGTAACATAGGGCCTTGAAACATTGCACAATGATTTGCAAGGCTGACTAAGGTGTCTGAACATGTCCCTCATTTTGTCTTTTGACAATGATTATACTATTTCTTTTCTGCAGCACATATACACTTGCTTTTGAAAATGCTGGGTCATTCCTTAAGGAAAACAGTCCCTGATACAATTAGGATAATTTTTTGCCATTCTTGTTTTCGGCGGTTAAGTTCAACTCAAACTTCATACTGGTCCTTACTGTCAAGAAAGGTATTTGTTAAAAAATACATTAAAATTTTACAAGTACTGTTTATTTCTTTGCTATATAAATATACTTCATTCCGCTCTAAAATTTTGATAACTTACCTGCCTTTGAAAGGCTCTCATTTTTATATTTGTTCTTCTCCATGGAAAGAAAAATATAGAAAAAATAGTTCCTTGCAATACGAGACAGAAATTCCACAGGAGTGCTTTGAACCAGGGAGCAACACAAGAATCTCCATCAGCTTCCAGCAAGATAGAGCCAGCAGAGTGGGATCAGCCATTTCAGTTGCCTGAGCCTGAGCTAGACTGGCCTTTTTTGCTGAGCTCTGCAAACACTGAAGCTATTGACAACAACATCAGCAACAGAAAGGGGATAGGAGATATCCATAAAGTGGTATGGTCTTCATAATTAAATATGACAATGGAGTTTGATTTCTGAATAAGTCTTCTTAAATGTGGTCATGTCATGATTATCTGTAGCCCCCACCTGGGGCGACAATTTCCTGGCTTCTTTGTCCTTAAAGTGTTAGATTTTTAACATTCATATGATTTTCAATACAAGTGTGCTGCAGAAAATTTTAAAAAATTAATGCGACAAAAATAGGATTCACCGTGCTAAATGTTTTGTTTAACATGTTTTGCTCGATCCTGCTCTATGATAATTTATGATGAGTTGAAATTTTAAAAAAATTGATACAAACCATTTTTTTACTTTAACAGCTAGAACTGTCACAATCACTAGCTGCTGAGCAAAATGTAAGTATTTTCAATGCTGTTTTTATTTCTTCACCCTATAGTTTCTTGTAGATAAAGCTATTTACCAATGATTAAATTTATTGCTACTGTATGCACTCATTCATATGACTGTTTGTTTGTACGCTGACCCCCTTAGTTTTAACTTGGAAAAGCTGAAGAGTGTGTACCCGACTCAAAACCGTACCCCATCAAATAATATGCTTGTGGAAGCAGTACGTCACTAAATAAATTAAATTATTTTTTTTAATCCAAAATTTAAAAAATGATTCTAGTGTAAGTAAAAACCTTAAAATAACTATTAAGTATACAGCATTATGTACAACATAGATTATTGCACGTGTGCTAGTAAATAAATGGTAACCATAATTGACATTTTGAAAAATAGGACTTCGGTTATCTACAACAACAATTTTTTATTCAATGTATGTACTTTGACAATCTTCGCATGGACGTAGCAAAATGAGAACAAAACATTTGACCCAATTTAGCACACAACCAATTTGTACATTGCCTAACCTTTTTTTTTCCATTACTTATTTTTTCCTTGTTCTCTATAATAGAATCAGTTTTCCTGGAGAAAATTATAAAAATCTCCAATGACCCGCTCATAAGCAGACCACCACACTCATTCCCCTGAAACATTTCCACCAAAAAAATTCAGCTTATGAATGTGTATATGCAGGAATCATTACAGGCAATGAAGCTCCATGGTAGTACTTCCTAAACTCTTTATTCAGTGTGTTCCCCAAATTAACTTTACCATCTGAATGACTCTCAATAGGTGGATAAGAAAGAGCACATAAGGCGGCAACTTCTGGCGGAGGCTTTAGATATCCCAAACATGAGTCATCCCAATGCTGTAAGTTCTGTAACTTTAGATATCCCAAACATGAGTCATCCCAATGCTGTAAGTTCTGTAACTTTAGTAATCCCAAACATGAGTCATCCCAATGCTGTAAGTTCTGTAACTTTAGATAACCCAAACATAAGTCATCCCATTGCTGTATGTTTCTGTAACTTTAGTAATCCCAAACATGAGTCATCCCAATGCTGTAAGTTCTGTAACTTTAGATATCCCAAACATAAGTCATCCCAATGCTGTAAGTTCTGTAACTTTAGATATCCCAAACATAAGTCATCCCAATGCTGTAAGTTCTGTAACTTTAGATATCCCAAACATAAGTCATCCCAATGCTGTAAGTTCTGTAACTTTAGATATCCCAAACATAAGTCATCCCAATGCTGTAAGTTCTGTAACTTTAGATATCCCAAACATAAGTCATCCCAATGCTGTAAGTTCTGTAACTTTAGATATCCCAAACATAAGTCATCCCAATGCTGTAAGTTCTGTAACTTTAGATATCCCAAACATAAGTCATCCCAATGCTGTAAGTTCTGTAACTTTAGATATCCCAAACATAAGTCATCCCAATGCTGTAAGTTCTGTAACTTTAGATATCCCAAACATAAGTCATCCCAATGCTGTAAGTTCTGTAACTTTAGATATCCCAAACATAAGTCATCCCAATGCTGTAAGTTCTGTAACTTTAGATATCCCAAACATAAGTCATCCCAATGCTGTAAGTTCTGTAACTTTAGATATCCCAAACATAAGTCATCCCAATGCTGTAAGTTCTGTAACTTTAGATATCCCAAACATAAGTCATCCCAATGCTGTAAGTTCTGTAACTTTAGATATCCCAAACATAAGTCATCCCAATGCTGTAAGTTCTGTAACTTTAGATATCCCAAACATAAGTCATCCCAATGCTGTAAGTTCTGTAACTTTAGATATCCCAAACATAAGTCATCCCAATGCTGTAAGTTCTGTAACTTTAGATATCCCAAACAAAAGTCATCCCAATGCTGTAAGTTCAGTAACTTTAGATATCCCGAACATAAGTCATCCCAATGCTGTACATTTCTGTAACTTTAGATATCCCAAAGATAAGTCATCCCAATGCTGTAAGTTCTGTAACTTTAGATATCCCAAACATTAGTCATCCCATTGCTGTAAGTTCTGTAACTTTAGATATCCCAAACATAAGTCATCCCAATGCTGTAAGTTCAGTAACTTTAGATATCCCAAACATAAGTCATCCCAATGCTGTAAGTTCAGTAACTTTATATATCCCAAACATAAGTCATCCCAATGCTGTAAGTTTCTGTAACTTTAGATATCCCAAACATAAGTCATCCCAATGCTGTAAGTTCTTTAACTTTAGATGTCCCAAACATAAATCATCCCATTGCTGTAAGTTTCTGTGACTTTAGATATCCCAAACATAAGTCATCCCAATGCTGTAAGTTCAGTAACTTTAGATATTCCAAACATAAGTCATCCGAATGCTGTAAGTTTCTTTAACTTTAGATATCCCAAACATAAGTCATCCCAATGCTGTAAGTGCCTGTAACTTTAGATATCTCAAACATAAGTCATCCCAATGCTGTAAGTGCCTGTAACTTTAGATATCCCAAACATAAGTCATCCCATGCTGTAAGTTATGTAACTTTAGATATCCCAAACATAAGTCATCCCAATGCTGTAAGTTCAGTAACTTTAGATATCCCAAACATAAGTCATCCCAATGCTGTAAGTGCCTGTAACTTTAGATATCTTAAACATTAGTCATCCCATTGCTGTAAGTTTCTGTAACTTTAGATATCCCAAACATAAGTCATCCCAATGCTGTAAGTTTCTGTAACTTTAGATATCCCAAACATAAGTCATCCCATTGCTGTAAGTTTCTGTAACTTTAGATATCCCAAACATAAGTCATCCCATTGCTGTATGTTTCTGTAACTTTAGTAATCCCAAACATGAGTCATCCCAATGCTGTAAGTTCTGTAACTTTAGATATCCCAAACATAAGTCATCCCAATGCTGTAAGTTCTGTAACTTTAGTAATCCCAAACATGAGTCATTCCAATGCTGTAAGTTCTGTAACTTTAGATATCCCAAACATAAGTCATCCCAATGCTGTAAGTTCTGTAACTTTAGATATCCCAAACATAAGTCATCCCATTGCTGTAAGTTCTGTAACTTTAGATATCCCAAACATAAGTCATCCCATTGCTGTATGTTTCTGTAACTTTAGTAATCCCAAACATGAGTCATCCCAATGCTGTAAGTTCTGTAACTTTAGATATCCCAAACATAAGTCATCCCAATGCTGTAAGTTCTGTAACTTTAGTAATCCCAAACATAAGTCATTCCAATGCTGTAAGTTCTGTAACTTTAGATATCCCAAAGATAAGTCATCCCAATGCTGTAAGTTCTGTAACTTTAGATATCCCAAACATAAGTCATCCCATTGCTGTAAGTTCTGTAACTTTAGATATCCCAAACATAAGTCATCCCAATGCTGTAAGCTCTGTAACTTTAGATATCCCAAACATAAGTCATCCCAATGCTGTAAGTTCTGTAACTTTAGATATCCCAAAGATAAGTCATCCCAATGCTGTAAGTTCTGTAACTTTAGATATCCCAAACATAAGTCATCCCATTGCTGTAAGTTCTGTAACTTTAGATATCCCAAAGATAAGTCATCCCAATGCTGTAAGTTCTGTAACTTTAGATATCCCAAACATAAGTCATCCCATTGCTGTAAGTTCTGTAACTTTAGATATCCCAAACATAAGTCATCCCATTGCTGTAAGTTTCTGTAACTTTAGATATCCCAAACATAAGTCATCCCATTGCTGTAAGTTTCTGTAACTTTAGATATCCCAAACATAAGTCATCCCATTGCTGTAAGTTTCTGTAACTTTAGATATCCCAAACATAAGTCATCCCATTGCTGTAAGTTTCTGTAACTTTAGATATCCCAAACATAAGTCATCCCATTGCTGTAAGTTTCTGTAACTTTAGATATCCCAAACATAAGTCATCCCATTGCTGTAAGTTTCTGTAACTTTAGATATCCCAAACATAAGTCATCCCATTGCTGTAAGTTTCTGTAACTTTAGATATCCCAAACATAAGTCATCCCATTGCTGTAAGTTTCTGTAACTTTAGATATCCCAAACATAAGTCATCCCATTGCTGTAAGTTTCTGTAACTTTAGATATCCCAAACATAAGTCATCCCATTGCTGTAAGTTTCTGTAACTTTAGATATCCCAAACATAAGTCATCCCATTGCTGTAAGTTTCTGTAACTTTAGATATCCCAAACATAAGTCATCCCATTGCTGTAAGTTTCTGTAACTTTAGATATCCCAAACATAAGTCATCCCAATGCTGTAAGTTTCTGTAACTTTAGATATCCCAAACATAAGTCATCCCATTGCTGTAAGTTTCTGTAACTTTAGATATCCCAAACATAAGTCATCCCAATGCTGTAAGTGCCTGTAACTTTAGATATTTTAAACATAAGTCATCCCATTGCTGTAAGTTCTGTAACTTTAGATATCCCAAACATAAGTCATCCCAATGCTGTAAGTGCCTGTAACTTTAGATATCCCAAACATAAGTCATCCCATTGCTGTAAGTTTCTGTGACTTTAGATATCCCAAACATAAGTCATCCCATTGCTGTAAGTTACTGTAACTTTAGATATCCCAAACATAAGTCATCCCATTGCTGTAAGTTTCTGTAACTTTAGATATCCCAAACATAAGTCATCCCATTGCTGTAAGTTTCTGTAACTTTAGATATCCCAAACATAAGTCATCCCATTGCTGTAAGTTTCTGTGACTTTAGATATCCCAAACATAAGTCATCCCATTGCTGTAAGCTTCTGTAACTTTAGATATCCCAAACATAAGTCATCCCATTGCTGTAAGTTTCTGTAACTTTAGATATCCCAAACATAAATCTTCCCATTGCTGTAAGTTTCTGTGACTTTAGATGTCCCAAACATAAATCATCCCATTGCTGTAAGATTTCTAATTAGGGGTTTACTGTTCTCGACTGTGTGCACTCATTCATATGACTGTTTGTTCGTACGCTGATCCCCTAAGTTTTAACTTGGAAAAGCTGAAGAGTGTGTACCCGACTCAAAACCGTACCCCATCAAATAATATGCTTGTAGAAGCAGTAGGTCACTAAATAAGTCATCCCATTCCTGTAAGATTTCTAATTAGGGGATTACTGTTCTGGACTGTTTTCAATTTATTTCCAGTTTAGAAATTATTTCTTCATCACCACATGGTGCATCAAAATGTGATATATCGATCCTGTCACCATTGTCCTTTCACCATTGTCCTGTCACCATTGTCCTGTCACCATGGTCCTGTCACCATGGTCCTGTCACCATGGTCCTGTCACCATCGTCATGTCACCATGGTCCTGTCACCATTGTCCTGTCCCCATTGTCCTGTCACCATGGTCCTGTCACCATGGTCCTGTCACCATGGTCCTGTCACCATCGTCATGTCACCCTTGTCCTGTCACCATTGTCCTGTCCCTGTCATGTCACCATGGTCCTGTCACCATTGTCCTGTCCCCATTGTCCTGTCACCATGGTCCTGTCACCATGGTCCTGTCACCATGGTCCTGTCACCATCGTCATGTCACCATGGTCCGGTCACCATTGTCCTGTCCCCATTGTCCTGTCACCATTGTCCTGTCACCATGGTCCTGTCATCATTGTCCTGTCACCATTGTCCTGTCACCATGGTCCTGTCACCATGGTCCTGTCACTATTGTCATGTCACCATGGTCCTGTCACCATTGTCCTGCCCCCATTGTCCTGTCACCATTGTCCTGTCACCATGGTCCTGTCACCATGGTCCTGTCACCATGGTCCTAACACCATTGTCCTGTCACCATTGTCCTGTCACCATGGTCCTGTCATCATGGTCCTGTCACCAATGTCCTGTCACCATTGTTCTGTCATCATTGTCCTGTCTCCATGGCCTTGTCACCATGGTCCTGTCACCATGGTCCTGTCACCATTATCCTGTCACCATTGTCACAGATGAAGTTCACCTAGATAAGCCCATGCCCCCAAATTATATTTTTTTATAACTTAACTTATTTAGGCACTGCTCCTTTGCAAAGTGATAGAGAAATTCATTATTTGACTAATATTTCATGAATCTAAAAATAGTAATTGGTGCTAATTGATTTCAAGGGATAGTTTTTATTAGATTATTCAAGTTTTATTCTACATGTTGTAACGGTATTAGCATGTTTATTTATTTCATCCGTGCATTCAATAGATCATTGGAGATGAGTCAAAAGCTAGAGTAATTGAACTTGTGGGTGAATTGAAAGGTAAGCAACATTTGTATAATTTTACATCTTCACTTCTTCGTGGTGTAATGTCAGTGCTGGAATTTGAATGATGACATTCTGAGACAAATTTTTATTGCAACAATTGCTGGATAAACACTTTAGAGCTGTATATAATTATTATAATTTCCATTAAAAATTTATGGATTCATTAAAATTCCTATCCCTCATTAACACATGACACCATATGAAAGTCAAAAGTTGAATACTTGCAACATAACACATGACACTGTATGGGAGTCAATAGTTGAATACTTGTAACATAACACATGACACCGTATGTCAATAGTTGAAAACTAGCAACATAACATTACCCATGTGTGAGTCAAAAGTTGAATACTTGCAAAATAACATGACACCATATGGGGGTCAAAAGTCAAATTCTTTCAACATAACATTATGCCATATGGAAGTAAAAAGTTGAATGCTTGCAACATAACACATGACACCATATGGGAGTCAAAAGTTGAATGCTTGCAACATAAGATGACACCATATGGGAGTCAAAAGTTGAATACTTGCAACATAACACATGACACCACATGGGAGTCAATAGTTGAATACTTGCAACATAACATTACACCATATGATAGTCAAAAGTTGAATACTAGCAACATGTCAATCTGTCTATAATTACAGAGTTCAAAGACAAGCCCAGGAACATCAGTGAGATAGCAGGAAAGGGACTGAAGATGTTGAGACATGAGTGAGTGTAAAGACTTGCCATTGACCATATGAGGAGGGTTAATGCTGTACATTGTTCAGTACAATCATATGTCATATGTGAAATCATATAACTGTTGGTACATGAAACCTGTCCATTGCATGTATCATTTAGCCAAACTGTAAAAACAAACATAGTTCTGAAGTTTGGAAGCTGCCTCATTATCAAATTATATTAAACTTGCCGCCACTGTTACACTCCAAAAAGATGCTGAAAATGCAGTGTAAAAACAAAATGTATTAACATGCTTTTTTCTAGGAACTTAACGTTTTCCTCTGGATCTAAGACCTACTACCTAGAAGATGAGCTTGCCGAACTAGAGAGAGCCATTGTGTCATTCACCATTGACAGGCTTTTCACTAAGGTATTTTTAAAATTTTTTGTTTTGTTTTTAGTGAAGTTAATTTATGAGCTGATTTGTAACTTAAGACAAAACGCAGATATAAGAATCCCAAACTGAAAATTGTTTGCTTCATAGCCTGGAAGCATTTCTGTTAAAGATCATCAGCTTGTACAGGCAATGTCGTTCAGTATCATCAGCTTGTACAGGCAATGTCGTTCAGTATCATCAGCTTGTACAGGCAATGTCGTTCAGTATCATCAGCATGTCCAGGCAATGTCGTTCAGTATCATCAGCTTTGTGCAGACAATGCCGTTCAGTATCATCAGCTTGTACAGTTCTTTTTAAAAAGTTTTTTATCAGTACTTTTACTTTTGCTCTAAAGAATTGTTTTGTTAAAGATGTAGGTGCATTTTTTAATATTTGTATGAAGTTTTAAGCCATAAATTTACATTGGTTTTTATTCAATCTTTTTATTTTTCATTACCCAACTTTTATAATACCCTGCAGGGCTTTGAACTTGTCTCTGTTCCTGATTTACTTTACTCTGGAGTAATAGTAAGTTGTTGGTTTTTTTATATATATATATTCAAAGTTGTAAGAAATTATTTTATTACTTACTGGTGTTAAAACTCAGTTCATTGACATGGTGCGGGATGAAAGTGGTGTGAATGATATTGCCATAGAGCCCCCACCTCCAAGCTCTGGAATGTTACGGCAGCTCCACTGAATCCCCCAAATGGTCCAATCTTCTAACAGAACAGCTGTGGTTTTAAGACGACCTCTGGGCGCAGTCAAGTCTACCAGCTCCATGACAAGTGTTTGAATGGGGCCTGCCTGGCAGGGACTGCAGAAATGTCCTTGGCAGGTTTGTTCATCATGTCGATAATTTTTGTCTTCAATGAATTTTCTCAGTGTCTCTTTTTTTTTAATTTCATTTTTCAATAACTTATTTCACCTTTTAAGCTTTTTTTTAAAAAGTATTTTAAAGCAGTCACATTTTTGTGACTGACTCTCAGAAATCACTACCACATACCATACACTTAGAGAGGGTTGACCATCAATAAGAAACACTCTCACACTTCTAACCTTAAATTCCACTATTTCTTTACTGCAGGCTACTTTATGAATGAAACTATTCCACTGGAACAATTACCTAAAAGGTAAATAGATTCTTCCATTACAACACATGTATATGTAGTTTTCTACTTGTTTTCCCTTGTGACCTGAGCTTTGGGTTCATGATTGGACTGAGCTTTGGGTTTGTGAATGGACTGAGCCTTGGGTTCATGAATGGACTGAGCTTTGGGTTTGTGAATGGACTGAGCTCTGGGTTTATGGATAGACTGAGCTTTCGGTTTATGGATGGACTTAGATTCGGGTTAATGGATAGACTGAGCTTTGGGTTTATGGATGGACTTAGATTCAGGTTAATGGATAGACTGAGCTTTGGGTTTATGGATGGACTTAGCTTTATTTTATGGGTTAGCTTTTCAACTGACTTACAAATATAAAATAGATAAAAGAAATAAAAGAACTTGAAGCATTTAATTCATGGGAAAATACTATTTCATCATCATAGTAATTTTATTTATAGACAGTTTGTCAGCCAGCAATCAGTCACTATATAAAATATTCACTACCGGGTATATAAGACAATCATTGTATAATAAAATCACTTTATAATACAACCCCAATATGCTACAATCATTGTATAATAAAACCGTCATATAATAAAATCACTGTATAATAAGACAACTATATAATGCAATCACTATTTCATGACACGCTCTGCGTGGTGTCCCACTGTTTACATTAAACGTTTATTGTTCTCCTTACGGCAGAATGATGGCAGTCAGCAGATGTTACAGAGCAGAGGCTGCAGAGAAAGCCATTGAGAAAGGTCTCTACAGAGTTCATCATTTCACAAAGGTTTTATTATAATTTCCTTCTACCATAAATTTTTTATTATTTTTTTTGTGGGGGATGTTTATCCATTTGCTTCAGATAAATGGTGAACAAGGAAGAATGTTGTGTTGGTGTTTTATTTAATTAAACGAATTATAAAAATGACTGAAATAATGGAGGAGGTAATTTTTAAATCTTGTTTTTAAAAAACTTGGAATCCTGTTTGTTGATTTGATTGAAATTCAATCTGGGCAAACATTGGTGTAGGGTTGTTGTTATTTTTTTCAAGACAAAATAAACAGATATTTTGTTTCAAAAAATGTCAGTGGAGGATGGTGTTTTTCTGAAGCTATAAAAGAATGGAGATTTGGAAGGGTTGAGATGTCATAATTACTTCTCTTTTATTCTATTTAAATTTGATGATAGTTTCCAGATGATGATAACTTACTGATATCAAAGTATGAAACCACATCTAACCACAGAGTTCAATGTCATATTAAGGTCTTAGCAGTGTTTCATGTCATATTAAGGCCTTGGCAGTGTCAGTCATTTCATTTTAAGGCCTTAGCAGTCTGATTCATGTCATCTTAAGCCGGTAGCAGTGGGCGTCATGTCTATGAGTCATTGACAGTATGTTTTGTCATTTTGAGGCCTATCAGAGTCATCATGTCATTATACTACTTTAGCAGTGTCAGTCATGTCATTTTAAGACCTTAAAGACCTTAGCAGTGTCATATCTACAGATAATTACTACAAATAATTTTGCCCCCCACCCTCCCCCCTCAGGTCACTTCTTTTTTTCTGCCAAGGATCACACTAAATAATTATAATTTGATAATTTAAAATATTTGTTACAGGTGGAGATGTTTGGACTAACTGCCAACGAAGATGGAACAGAGAGTGAGAAACTACTTCAAGAAATATTGTCTATTGAGAAGGAGCTCTTCTCTGATTTGGGACTTCATTTCAGGTAAGATATCTGATCGTTAGTGATTTTTCAAATGATGGTAATGGTTATTTTTAAAAACTTTTACATTACTCTGGCTGCATAATAGTGTTGAGACCATCGTCCAACAAAAAGAATGGAACAAATTGTGAGGAAGCTCATTGGCTGACCCCCCCCCCCCTTTTCCCTTAACAATGGTATAATGTTAATAGGACTGGCAGGGCAGAATAGACAGAAACTTTTTCATACCAAGTAGGCTTTTATCCTACGGGGCTGACATACTAAACTAGTTGTTCTTTCTGCACAAGAAGAGCAGACATGCTGGTTTAGAGGAGTCGATTTGTTGGAGGAGTTTTCCTTACAGCAGCCTTTTGTGTTTCCAAACCACATATGAGGCAGTCTATCTAGTTTTCCCCATAACTGAGAGTAATCCTGTAAGATAGATCCAGCCTTTTGGTCTGAAGTCAGCCTTTTGGTCTGAAGTCAGCCTTTTGCTCTGAGGTCAGCCTTTTGGTCTGAAGTCAGCCTTTTGGTCTGAGGTCAGACATGCCACCATTGCAGCTGTGCTATAAAATTTACTGATTAATATTGAAATATTTTTTTGCTGAGTATAATTCGTTTTAGTCCTTTGATTTTTAAAGAAAAAAAAAAGAAAATTTAAGTTTTGAATTTGGAAAGATCTAACTGTTTTGAGGTCCATCCACCAGAATTTTGGATATGCCAACCCAAGAGTTGGGAGCCCCTGCACACAAAAAGTTTGACATTGAGGCCTGGATGTATGGCAAGCAAATGTGGGGAGAGGTGAGATATTTGAGTGATACAGAACTAGAAAATGGCCATAATCTGTGAGTCAGTTTATTCAAATTCTACAGAACATTGTAGCAGAGTTGCTTAGCTCACATGGATATAGACACACCGTTCTGCGCACCCATAGATACAGAGGTAACATACTTCGCACACAGATATTGACCACTGTACTAAGCACACATAGACGTCACGTACTAACCACACATAAATATAGACGCACCGTACTAAGCACACATGGATACAGAGGCACCATTCTAAGCACACATAGATTGAAAGTTAAACAAGATAAAAACATCAGATTTTTTTAAAATTAAAATTGAGCAGATTCTCACCATCACCCAAATTCATGCGGGACGCAAGGTTTTATTGTTATTTTTAAACAAAAATGAGGGAGGTGCTCTACGCGCCAGCGCACATTGGACGCATCTGGAGGTACACCCCAAGAACGCAACCGCCTGGAACAGGTGTATAGAAAATATGGGGGGGGGGGGGCCTCAATTTTTTTAGAAATAATAAACAATGCAAATGTGAAAAATTCAGACTTAGGCTTTAAGAGGGTTAAAGTTACACCCATAGTTGGAGGTACACCCCAAGAACGCAACCGCCTGGAACAGGTGTATAGAAAATATGGGGGGGGGGGGCCTCAATTTTTTTAGAAATAATAAACAATGCAAATGTGAAAAATTCAGACTTAGGCTTTAAGAGGGTTAAAGTTACACCCATAGCTAAGAGGATCAAAGATATTCACATTACTGATTTGGTAACGCATTTTATTTTGTGTATTAATATATGGTATCTGCTTTTAATTTTAAAGTATGCGTATAACATACCATGCCATCAGTGACAAGTGACTGATAGTTTTTAAATTCCTTAGTCCACTCAAAAGTAAGAACTTATATGACATAAATGAACAGAGACTTCTGCATCTTGGTTGACCCAGTCTTTGTTCCCCGGGCACTTTCAATATATCAGCTCTTCAGTATTGTTTCCTTTCTACGTTAAATAATCCATGTTTTCACTTTCTGTAAGCATACCTATGTAAACAGAGTAGTTGCAGAGCTGAGAAATTATCATTCTCTCAAGAGTTTCAAATATCACAGTTGTTGATTTGATAGTTCATGATTTTGATAGTTCATGATTTTGATAGTTCATGATTTTGATAGTTCATGATTTTGATAGTTCATGATTTTGATAGTTCATGATTTTGATAGTTCATGATTTTCTTGATTTTGATAGTTCGTGATTTTGATAGTTCAGGATTTTGATAGTTCATGATTTTGATAGTTCATGATTTTGATAGTTCATGATTTTGATAGTTCATGATTTTGATTGTTTCTAGTTGTTCATATCATTTATTAAAATGAATAATTTGATTGATGTTTAATCTTACCACTTATCATATCACACCAACCACTTGTGAAATCACACCAACCTCTTATCATATCACACCAACCACTTGCCATATCACACAAACTACTTGTCATATCACACCAACCACTTGTCATATCTCACCAACCACTTGTGATATCACACCAACCACTTATCATATCACACCAACCACTTGTGATATCACACCAACCACTTATCATATCACACCAACCACTTGCCATATCACACAAACCACTTGTCATATCACACCAACCACTTGTCATATCACACCAACGACTTGTCATATCACACAAACCACTTGTCATATCACACCAACCACTTGCCATATCACACAAACCACTTGTCATATCACACCAACCACTTGTCATATCTCACCAACCACTTGTGATATCACACCAACCACTTGTCATATCACACAAACCACTTGTCATATCACACCAACCACTTGCCATATCACACAAACCACTTGTCATATCACACCAACCACTTGCCATATCACACAAACCACTTGTCATATCACACCAACCACTAGTCATATCTCACCAACCACTTGTGATATCACACCAACCACTTGTCATATCACACAAACAACTTGTCATATCACACCAACCACTTGCCATATCACACAAACCACTTGTCATATCACACCAACCACTTGCCATATCACACACACCACTTGTCATATCACACCAACCACTTGTCATATCTCACCAACCACTTGTGATATCACACCAACCACTTATCATATCACACCAACCACTTATCATATCACACCAACCACTTGTCATATCACACCAACCATTTGTCATATCACACCAACCACTTGTCATATTACACCAACAACTTGTCATATCACACCAACCACTTGTCATATCACACCACCCACTTGTCACATCACACAAACCACTTATCATATCACACCAACAACTTGTTACATCACACCAACAACTTATCATATCACACCAAACGCTTATCATATCACACCAACCACTTGTCATATCACAAAAACCACTTATAATATCTCACCAACCACTTATCATATCACACAAACCTCTTACCATATCACACAAACCACTTATCATATCACACCAACCACTTTTCATATCACACCAACCACTTGTCATATCACATCACCCACTTGTCACATCACACAAACCACTTATCATATCACACCAACCACTTGTCATATCACACCAACCACTTGTCACATCACACCAACAACTTATCATATCACACTAACCGCTTATCATATCACACCAACCACTTTTCATATCACAAAAACCACTTATAATATCTCACCAACCACTTATCATATCACACAAACCACTTACCATATCATACAAACCACTTATCATATCACACAAACCTTTTTTCATATCACACCAACCACTTATCATATCAAACCAACCACTTATCATATCACACCACCCACTTATCATATCACACCAACTACTTATCATATCACATAAACCACTTATCACATCACACAAACCACTTACTATATCACACAAACCACTTGTCATATTACACCAACAACTTGTCATATCACACCAACCACTTGTCATATCACACCACCCACTTGTCACATCACACAAACCACTTATCATATCACACCAACCACTTGACATATCTCACCAACCACTTGTGATATCACACCAACCACTTATCATATCACACCAACCACTTATCATATCACACCAACCACTTGTCATATCACACCAACCATTTGTCATATCACACCAACCACTTGTCATATTACACCAACAACTTGTCATATCACACCAACCACTTTTTATATCACACCAACCACTAATCAGATCAGACCAACCACTTGTCATATCACACCAACCAATTGTCATATCACACCAACCACTTATCATATCAAACCAACCACTGATCATATCACACCAACCATGTATCATATCACACAAACCACTTATCACATCACACAAACCACTTACTATATCATACCAAGCACTTGTTACATTACACCAACAGTTTATCATATCAAACCAACCACTTATCATATCACACCAACCACCTATCATATCACACCAACCACTTATCATATCACACAAACCACTTATCACATCACACAAACCACTTACTATATCACACCAACCACTTGTTACATCACACCAACAACTTATCATATCACACCAACCACTTGTCATATCACAAAAACCACTTATAATATCACACCAACCACTTATCATATCACACAAACCACTTTCCATATCACACAAACCACTTATCATATCACACCAATCACTTTTTATATCACACCAATCACTTATCAGATCAGACCAACCACTTGTCATATCACATCAACCACTTGTCGTATCACACCAACCACTTGTCACATCACACCAACCACTTATCATATCACACCAACCACTTATCATATCACACAAACCATTTATCACATCACACAAACCACTTACTATATCACACAAACCACTTGAGTGGAGTAGAAATGAAGTCAATATTCCAGATATGGAAATGAATGATTTTTAATTCATCTTCTACAGAGTCTTTCACTCATCCATACACATACTGTTTCTAGACCTAAGCTCATAAAAATTATTTTTTTAAAACTTCTTTTGAATTGGCTCTTAGCTGGAACAGAACATGACTGGAATACTGTGAACATAATTGAACAAAGTATGTGAACATAATGCAATACTGTAAATGTAAACATCATTGTAATACTGTGAGACTTTCCTTGGGCTGAGCAGTGAAAGATTCACATGATTGAGTATATCGTTTGGCCTGTATATTTGTTTGTGATGCTGTTAAGATTTTTTGACATTTGAATAGCTCTGTGATCCCCTCTCACTGATCCACCTCCCTTGTCTGTGCCTGATTATCAAAAAAATTGATCCCTCAAACATGTGCTAAACTCTTCTACAACCTCTGCCCAGATTTCCAGTTGTTCCAACTGCACTGACTACCAGTCAAGACGACTCAACATCAAGTACATGTTGCCTTCTGGTCATCTGAAACATGTTCATACTGTAAGTATTGATTCCACTGTTTATGTAATGGGCAGAGAGTGTGTGTCATCATTTTAAAACAATTATCATAGCTGTTGGAAAGTTATTTGAGGAGCATCACGATAAATTACATTTACTTTTACATGCTGCAAAGAAAATATTTTTTCGGGGGGGGGGGGGGGGGGGGGGTGTGGTGGGCTCTATATAAGCATAAAATTTGTGACCCTTTTTTAATCAATTTTGTCCAGTTTTCTTTCATTTCTTCTACTTCTAAATTTTGAGGGCCCACGATCAATGTATTGATCATTCAAATTCCATTTTTTTTTTCTTTCTTTAAATTGAGAAACAACCAGAATTAACTGAATATGTTTAAATACAATGTAAATAAATGACAAGTTAGTGTTACAAAATTGTGTGTTACAAAATTGTTTCAAATCCTGAAGGCAAGCAACAATCTGAGATTGAGGTCATTTTTTTTTTTTTTGCCTGGCGTCTGTTTCATCCCAAGCACCACATAGGCTAAGAGTACAGAATAACATAATGACAAATTTAATGTTTCAGTCCTTTATCACTGTATGTTAGAAGTGTCACACTTTACCACATAACACTCTGACTGTACAACTTTTTAGGTTAATGGGACGGCTTGTGCTGTGCCAAGAATGATTACTTCAATCTTGGAACAGAACCAACAAAAGGTAATGTGTCAGTGTCTTAGGCTCCAAGCTACTCTACAGTTTTTTTTTACAGTAAAATAATCCATTCATTAGAAGGGTTAAAATATTTTTATCAAAACGTGTTCAAACCTTGCGACCTTTCTGAGTGAAATTCACGTTTTTATTAAATTAAAGGTTAAAAAATTGAAAACTATCCTTGATTAGTTTTTATCATCAACAAAAAAAATATTCAATACCTTAACCATTAACAGAATCAACAAAATGTTTTACAGGTGTTGCTGGTCACATAAGTTTACCTACAGAATTTTAAAAATATTTCAATCACATCTTAAAAACAAAAAGAAACACATAATTATGTAGCTCTGCTTTCACAGAGGAGGAAGATTACAATACCCAAGGTGCTGCAGCCTTATTTGAATGGAAAGATAGAATACACAGCAGAGGTGACAAGATCCTGGTACACTTACATGAAAACTCTGAGGCGTGACCCATCACCCGAGGACAGCTGAAAAGGCTAGCAGTTATGCTGTTTAATTAATAGAACAAGTGTTTGTCTTGTTTAGGGAAATCTTTGTACTGGGTTGGCTGAGTGAAATCTTTGTACTGGGTTGGCTGAGTGAAATCTTTTTACTGGGTTGGCTGAATGAAGTCTTTGTACTGGGTTGGCTGAGTGAAATCTTTGTACTGGGTTGGCTGAGTGAAATCTTTGTACTGGTTTGGCTGAGTGAAATCTTTGTACTGGGTTGGCTGAGTGAAATCTTTTTACTGGGTTGGCGCTGAGTGAAATCTTTGTACTGGGTTGGCTGAGTGAAGTCTTTGTATTGGGTTGGCTGAGTGAAATCTTTGTACTGAGTTGGCTGAGTGAAATCTTTGTACTGGGTTGACTGAGTGAAATCTTTGTAATGGGTTGGCTGAGGGGCATTTGGCCAAATTTTGAGAGTTTATTGTATGTTGAAAATTATAAGACAATTTTAAATTGGTTTTAAGTTTTATATATTAATATTTAAGAGATTGACAGTAACAGACTATAATACATTTTATTACATACCATCTGATACAAAGTACTAAAAATTGTAAAGATCTTCACTTGTTTTTGTTCCAATATTAAAAACCCTCAAATTTATGTCTGTTATTTTATGTAACGTTCTGCAAATGTAGGAAAAGTCTATATTTTCCCCATTACCGTAATTATTAATTAATTTTTTCTTTAAATGTACCATTTAATCTGTTCAATTAAAAATGTTGAAGTACTTGTTGTTTACTTGTTTAGTTATTTGTGCATCTGATATTTTCCTTTTTCAATGTCACATGTGAAGGCCAGGAGGGGTGGGGGGAGGGGGGGTGTTGTTTGGTGCCTTTGTTTTTAAAATAATCCACATTAATTCCCCACAGGAAAGAGACAATCTAGTTACTGGGGTTTATAACCAATTATTAATGAGGACGTGGGTTCATTTAAAATTTTCTGCAATTTCTATTTGTCAATGTATGAAACACTTCATTTCCTATTACATTTCTGTGTGTCAATAATTATTGGCTTAATAACAACTTTTAGCTTCATGCAAGGGGCAAACCTTATTGCAAACAAACCTTACTCATTACCTAACACTGGGGCTTGTGATCTTATTGCAACAAACCTTACTCATTACCTAACACTGGGGCTTGTGATCTTATTGCAACAAACCTTACTCATTACCTAACACTGGGGCTTGTGATCTTATTGCAACAAACCTTACTCATTACCTAACACTGGGACTTGGTGATCTTATTGCAACAAACCTTACTCATTACCTAACACTGGGGCTTGTGATCTTATTGCAACAAACAAAACAAACCTTACTCATCAACGAACACCGAGACTTGTGATCTTTATAATTGGGGGAAGAACCATCGGAAACGGTGTGATGTCATTTAAGGTTTGCCCATATCCAGATTTTTGTTTAATGCGATTCATTGAAAATTATTGTTAGATTTTGTTTTACATTTTTAGAAGTATGAAAACTGCTGCACTTCTTCTTTAGCTCTTGTGTAATTTTTTTTCTAACAGAAGGGATAGCGAGGAAACCTCAAAATCCTTTCTTGGACTCCCGCTGTCATTTTCTTCCTTTTCTTTGTTTTGTTTTTTTGTTTTTTTGTTTTTTTTAAGTTGAAAAGAAAACTTAAAAAGAAATTTTTTTTCTAATGAGGTTGTTGGTGATCAAATAGTAATAATGTTAGAACATAGCACAAAGTGTTAACAATTGTGTGATAAAACAATTGAGGCGAAATATAACTGGATGGGGTGATTAGTGGCATGGGATGAAAAGAAAAGAAATGATGATGACTGTTCCTCCACCATATGATGGCTGTCCCTCTACCAGACTTGTCCGTGTCTACCAATCTTGACTCGTGGCCGTTCACTCTCACCTGGTTCTCGTTTTATGTGAGAAAGAACGCAATATTTTTAGCATATTTTTTTTGTTGTGAGTGACGTGCGACACAGTTATTTATTTTTGATAGACTACGACAGAGGTGAGGCAATTATTTGAGTTGTTTTTTTTTTTTTTTTTTTTCAAAATCATTCATATATACGGGGTAAAACTAAAATAATTACAGGCAAATTAATTAAACATTTGTTTCTATTTTGAATTTTTTAACATGATGTCTAAATGAATTGGAATGATAAA